TTTCATGCTTTATTTAAGTCATTTAATCTTTAAATTGCTTAGAAATTCAAATTAATTCATTTGCTTATGTGTCAGTGATTATGAAAAGAATTGGAACAGTTTTCAATTAATACTCTTGAAGTTTGAATTAATTTTTCATAAAAACACAAAAAAAAATTAAAAATCAAAAATATTCAACCTAATTAAAGAAAGTTTTTTTTTTTTGTTTTTTTGGTTTTTGTTCAGTAAAAAGTAGAAGAATTGTGAAGAATTGTAAAGAATATAAAAATATTAATAAAAGCAAGGAGAACAAAGCCTTGAAACGACACTGGCGCTTAAAAATAATTTTTGTGCTTTTCTTATTTATATTTAAAATGAAAACTAATTTAAAATTAGAAAAGTTTATAATATCGAAAATAAGTAGAACGAAAACTTTTAAACTTTTTTTTTTTAGTTTTTTTTGTTTTACTTTGAATTTTTGACCAAAAAAGAAAATTTTATTTTCTTTTTTATTTGTTTGCTTATAGTAGAAATGCAAAACTTAAATAAAAAAATGAAAGAAAATTATTATTGTTCGTAAATAAGTTCGGAGTGCGGTTTAAAAAAAAAAATGGCATCTAATGTAAATAAAATTTTGTGTGCGTTTGTGTGTGTGTACCTATTCTATATTTATTTATTTACTTGTACCTCACTATAAATTTTGCACCTGTACAAGAAATTACCAATGTTTATAATGAAAATTGTTTTTTGAATTTAAAAAAGAATAACAACAAAAGAGAAAATTTTATTCAAAGTAGAAAATATAACAGTAATATTACAGTTTTTTCTTATTTATTTTTAAGTTTTCCACAATTTTCACTTTTAAAATCTTCAATTTTTAAAAAAGTTTTTTTTTCTTTTCATTTTCCGGTTTTCATTTTTCTTGTTTTTTCTTAGAACTCTGAAAATTATTATACAATTTTAAAGGGAAAAATTAATCGACTGATTAAAAAAAGCAAGAAAAAATCAAACAAACAAAGAGAGAACAGAAAAAAAAACCCTTTTCAAGAAAGCAAAGAAGAAAAAAAAATGAAAAGAAAATTCTTTCTCTTTTCTTTGAATAATAGTTTTTATTTCAAAGAAAAACAGCATAGAACTGAATGAGAGAGTGAGAGAGAGCGAGAGAGTGGAGAAGAGTGAAATAAACACACAAAATAAGACAAAAAAAAAAACGAACAACAATGGATGATAATTTTATGAAAAAGTTTCTCAGGTGTAAACCTCATGATGTTTAACCGGAACTTTAAAAAGAAAATAATTTACTGGTATTTCTCTTTTGTATTGTCCTTTTTCTTTTCTTTGTCATTGTCCTTTAATAAAAAATATATATATAAGAAAAAAATTTGGAGAATAAAAAATAAAATGAATTAAAAGAAAAAAAAAAATTATTATAAAAATGAAAATTTTGGTTAGAAAGAAAAAAGAATGTCCTTTGTATCGTCAACGCAATTGCAGTGTTTCAAGGTGTTTACTGACATTTCCGAAAAATTTTTCTTAATAGTTAAAAAATTATTCTCATGGATTATTCTCATTTCAATTGAGAATTACAAAATGTATAGCAAATAATTTCATCACAAGTTCATTATAATTAAAATGTTCCTATAAATAGTTTTTAAATTTTATGTAAAGGTATTTGTTATAAAAATTTTAAGAGAAAGCGTCTAAAGGTCCCTAGTAGATGTCTCTTTTATAATATCCATTTGGCTAGCACAAAAATTAAGCAAAGATAAATGATAGATGGCTTACAACCACCATACTAATGAACCTGAAATTTAAATTTCCTGAAGTGAGTTTGTTTTGGGTTTCGATAAGGAAAACTATTTGTTTCATATACAAGTAATTGCTGAACTAGTTTTAATCGCATCTTCTGACCGGAGTTTAATTTAAAACCACCCATCTATTTCGACCGCTCACAAAATTTATTCTTTTAGTTTAATAACAAATATGGAGACGAAAATAAGACGTTAAAAGAGTTTCTTACAGATTATTAATTATAGATAACCCATTGTAACTATGTTAAATTTTGGTTTCCTGTGCGTTAGCCTCTCATGCAGTAATTTTAATTTCCTTTTCTATTCGGATTTTTATATTTTCTTATACCTTTTCTTTTACCATTTTTTATAGTGATAACATTTTCAAAAATTTTTATTCAAAACAGAAATTGTAAAATGTTTTTTAAACAATCACCGCTTTTTTTTTAATTTTTGAGAATTTTAGGAATTATCCGGTTTTGAATCCTAGTTGATCGTAAAGAATTTAACTGCTTCGATGTTTTAAATTAAGAGGAAATCGAAAAAAATGTTTAGCACCCCATGAATTAATCGCAAAGTGATTAGTTAGACATTTGAGTGTTATCAAGGAATTCCAAATTTAGTCAATTGAGCAACAGTCGTTGAGAATTTTAAAATCCCAAAAACATATTTAATTTGTAAATATTTGAGATTTTTGTCGGAAACAATGTATACGAAGTTTCCAATCAGGGATATTTTGCCTAAAAATTTTTAGGCATTAAGAGTTTTTTGAATCTTTTGGCTCCTTTTTTCTCAACATTTTCCCAACATATGACAGAACATTTCAATTTGCTTCGTTCTTAATCTCAAAAAAAGATTCATTTTAGCCCAACATTTTTTGCAATACAGTTAGAGAATCTCTTTTCTTGTTATATAAATTTTAAGATTTAGAAAAAAAAAACTGTCAAAAATAAATGAATTTTCTTGAATTGTAGGTATGGCCCAAAGAATACAAGGGAATAAAAAAATTTTATTGTCTAAAATCGAAGTGAAAATAAGTACCTATCTCTGCTGTCGTATTTTTCAAATTTTTTTTTTTTGCCAATTGTTATAAAAAAAAATGTTTTTCTTTTTTAGTTTTGTGTTATTTGTTTTTTTTATTTTTAAAATTTTAAATCTTTTCTTTCACGTTTTTTTATTTTTTTTTTTATATTCGTTTTGGGATTTTATATTTGACACAGGATAAAAGGAAAATCAGATAATTTTAATTTCAATTTTTTTTTGTTGTTTCTTCATTATTGATGTACCTACCAATTTGGATCCTTTATTTATATATGTTTGTATAATCCTAAGGTAATTAAAATAATACTAGTTTCTAAAGATAAATTAGAAAGAATAAGAAAATTTCTATTTTTGCTTCCTTTTCATCTTACAATTTGTAAGCACATTTTCTCAAAAGTTTAACTGTAAAATTCAGTTTTACAATTCACTGTCACTGTCTTAACTTGTGTTGTTCTTTTTAAAAGTGAAAGATTTGGATAAAAATTTATTCCAAAATTGGTCGTGATAAGTTGCTTGGTTAATTTAGGTGACTAGCGCAACTCAGAAGGATCGACGGCCCAATTAGCATAAATGTGCCATTTTTCACAGATAATTAGTACAAGGCCGGTCACTACAGCCACCTTGTCTTCCTAAGAAATTAGTCTAAATCTCCGATAGTACAAGAAATAATGGCAACTTTAGCCATACTCGGCTCATCCAACAATGCACTCACAGAGGTAACGGAAAACGGTTTTCCTTTTATAAACTACCCGATTGTTGAGACATAACGCATTAAGAGCAAGTCCGGGCCTGGCGCGTTTTCACTCACCGGCCAATGAACCATATGCTATAATAATATCTACGTCCCCTCGTGATATCGAAGGAATCGACTGTATTCTACTACAGTCGTATTTAAGCCACATCTTCTTTGAAATCCCACATGTGGCTGAATTTTTCCACATGTGTGCGGCAAGTAATAGTTGATAACATCCTGTCTTAACTTTCCTGGCCAGTACGCAATAATGTTATTTTATTTTTTAGCAATATTTAATGAGTAAATTAAGTGGAAAATGTGCTTGTTTTGAAAATTCTTGTTATTTAAATTAGAACAAACTTGCTGCTCTCTATGTGTGTTGTAACTATTTATTATTATTGTATGTATATTTTAGCTATCCTACTATATATATAATTAAATATAAGAATGTACCGTAAAATATTGAGGTTATTATCATGTGTTCTTTTACAGAAATAAATTTTTTAATTTTTATTTCAAACTTAATTCAGTTAAAGGAAAATTTCATTTTATATTTGTGTTTTCTGTAAATTCATATACATGTGTAGGCGTTTATTACTATTATTATTTGGAAGTTGAACTTTCCGTATTGTGTTAAAAAATTGTAGCAGACGTTTTTTTAATTAAAAATGTAGAAAAAACATTTAGTTTTAACACAATAGAAAAATACCTTAAAAAAATGTGTTACATCTGTTACATAATTGTGAAAAATAAAGAATAAATCAATTTTTCCAAAAATTACTTGTTTTGTAACCAGGTGTAAATGATATTGTAATTGGAAAGTATTTGCATTAACAAAAATTTGACTTTTAATTTTAAATAAATTGGGCATTTGTTTTATTGAAAATATTTATAAATAAATTATTTTTGAATAAATTATGAGAAATGATAAATTTTATGACATCTAAATTTTATGTTTCATGGACAATTTATGTTGTAGAGTAGATACACAGAAGAAAAACATTCTAATGAAAGGCAGAAATTGAATATGCCTGAATACGACACTTACAGATTTAATTCGGCTCCTAACAATGTCTGATTTTGAAGGAAATATTATTGGTACAGGATAGTAATGATATTAGATAAGGATGAAAAGTACAGAACCAGGAACGATAAATGAGCTGGAAGAGTTGTAGAACGATTGTGCCTGGAACGGCACAACAATTTATAAGACTTCCAAATCCAGAAAACATTAAGTTCGAGATCATTATCAAAGGTGAAACTACTGAACTAGGGCCAGAAATAAAAAAGACTCCGGATCATTGCAGGCAATTTTATTTTTCCTATATAAAAGAAAGTTTAATGCAATTTTTAACACATAACTAGCTTTGTAAAATGTTTCATCAAACAATCTAGCTACGATAACGATAAATTAAGCAATATATGTAACTGTAATTCTTAATTTCAATAAAACTTACCATGTATTGGAGCATAAATATTTAAATATAAACAATCTTCAGATTGATTTCGAAGATATGGCATTAAACGTTTTAAATATTCTAATCTTCCACGTGGCATACGTGCTAGTGCAGCAGTCTCATTAGCAATATCAGGAAGACGTTGTGGACATACTGGTCCAAATCTGAAATATGAATAAAAATAAAAAATTATTATAAAATTTTTAAAAAAAATTCTTTGCATAATATTTGAAATTTATTTAATGGAGACTAGTGCTTCTATACGATTCACCTATTTACTAATAAATCATTTTATAACATTTAATTATGCTGATTTAGTTAAACAGCTTAAAAAAATAAAAATAAATAAAAAATTAATAGGCTAACATTAAAATTTAATCTAGTAAAATATAGCTAGCTAATAATCTAAGAATTAAATAGTGTTTATAAGTACAGAATTTTTAAAATGAATTATTTGGAAAATAGGATTACAATAATATTGGTGTGAAACGGTTTTTGGTAAGCGGCTTAGCGAAATTAAAAATAAAATTAAAAAACTTTCATTTCAGTTTTAGAATAAAATATTCTATAATAAAATTACGTCATTTCGTGACTGTTTGATGGCCAACATATCCTGCGTTCTTGATTTTACAGAGTGTAAAGTGTAGTAAGTGAAAATTTGTAAAACACGAAATTTGTCGATTGTAATTGCTTTACATTTTTTGGTAGGAAACTGTGCTGTATAAATCTCCGAAATTATTGATTTAGGAGCATATAGGTAAAAATTTTATTCTATGAAGTGAATTTTTTACCAAGAAAGGTTTTTAATCATTGTCTTCTTGTGTGTAATAAACGTAAATATATGGGAATATATGGCAACAAGTGAATATACAACTAAGGGAGATAGGAAGGATCAGATCGGAAAATTATCTGCTGAATGGATGAAGGCAAGATATTTTTTTTTTAATTTTTAGAAAATTAATAAAAAATTTGTCTATTCTTTTTGCAATTTTCATTTTTTTTTTACTGAATTATTGCATGATATACTTTGTAAAATAAACAAATTTTTTTTTAATGGAAACCACTCGATAATAGGTCGAAGTAGTTTCTAAATGAATTTAAATATTACACATTTTGCTTCTTATTTTTCTGTATGAGAATGTGAAGCCATTTAACATGATATATGAGGGTAATTACTCCGAAGTTAAAGCTAGTTCAGCTGCAAGAGTTATACACTTAGTACATAATTCGGCTAGTGTATATTTTACATGCCAATCCTCAAATGAAACCCAATAATGATATTAATTTTGTTTTTAAATCTTACTTACTAGTTCAACTTTATTTTAGGTCAATTTTTTAAATTATAGATTTCAAATTCAGATATTTATTTGCACATTTTAATTGAATTTCCACAATGTATTTTTGCTATCCTTTTACAATACTTTTTTTTCCCATATTTTCTTTATTTTCTCTTTTAATTAAATTTTTGAAATCATAATTTCTCACTATGCAATATTTACTATGCTTAATTTCATTTTTAACTTCAAAAACAGTTTTCTAAGTGTTTTCATAAATAAAATTGAAATATGCTTTAAGTTAATTATAAAAACAGGGTTAATTATAAATTTTAAATAGATTTTTTTTTCATATGCAGTGAAATTTTTTTTTGCTATTCTTTCCACTCTAAATACATAATTATTATTAAAATTATTATCCTTTAAAATGTTCTGTTTAAGATTTTAAAATAAATAAAATCAATAATTTTTTTTATTGCAAATGACTTGAAAACTTAAAAAAAAATTTATAAATTTTATTACATAATAAAAAATTATTCTGTTAGAGTCATTATTGATGCAATTTAACGATTATAATATCACAAATTTTAGCATAGCTTCACCATAGCTTTTCATATGTATGCCATATCATAGTGCTACCAGGAGAATTACAAATTCGAGAATTAAGACGCTGATTGTAGTTCATTCAAATACCTCATGTCATCCATAGAAGAATAAATTCACAAGTTGAATTAGGTAGTTTGTGCAAGACAATAATTATTGGATTCAATTATCAAAAATATAAAATATGCTGGAAAATTTTATAATATTATTCATAATACAAGTACGCATAAAACAACTCCGCGATCGACATAATAATTAGTTAGAACATAGTTTTCTATGTAGGTATCCCATGTTGTACTATATTGAATTCTAAAATGGCTAAAAGTATGATTAAAATGGCTGCAATCAGACTGTAGAAAATGTTTATTTGTCTATTCGGTTCTTATTCAGAGCATGATACATTCGCAATTATTATTTCATTTTCATTAAAATTATCTACCATACCCAATTTATTAAAGAATTAATCAATTACTATAACTTACATTAAATTGAATTTTTAAAGCAATCTATTTTAAAGGATATGTTATTTAAAAAAATATAATTATTAATTAAGTGATTTTGATTTTCAACATTACCAAACACATTATCGTGTCTTGTAATAAAAATAATGATTTATAATATTTATTTTGAATTTAAAAAGCATATTAAAATTAAAATAAATATATTTAATTGAATATCAGAGATTAATTAATTAATACCCAATTGAAAAGAAGCCATACAAATCTATGTGTTGAAATTACAGAATTCATTACATGGATTTAGGTACATGAGAGCTACGTAATATTTATGAAATTTTATTTTTTTACAGTGTTTATTTTTTAAAATATTATTACATCAGTATTGTGAACGATATATTGAACCCAAAGTACCTAATACACATAATTTTTCTAAGTATCTAACACAATATTATTAAAAAATCAATGAGGGATCAATATGTTGTTTAGCACTCAATAATTCAGTACTATATTGAATACAAAACATACCTTTACTAAAATATAAGGGAAGTATCTGTACAACAACAATTTCTATTCCTGTTCCTGCATTTTTTTTTGCTTTGCAAACACTCTCTGCGAAATCTTGCGAATTACGTTTGGGTGGTTTCGAACAAAGTTTATAATCAAACTTATAGTTTGTAAAATGGCGTTTTTCCTTTGGCAAGTAAAAATTTTTATGTATTTCACAAAACTATCTTCTAGCTACTACTTTTATTAAATTATTATTTAAATGCATATATAAAAATATTGCATAAATTTAGGATGAAAAATTGCATACATTTAGGCGAAATGAAAAAAATAATCAAAAACTCATCAAAATTAAAGGCTAAGTAAGAAATTAAAAAAAAAAATAATTTTTTGAGTTTAGATTTTTTCGTTAGCTTTTCGCTTTTATTGAAATTAGGGAAGGGTTACAATTTCGAATATATTAAGAGCTGAAAATTAAAATTTTACCGATAAATTCTGAGTTGTCAGACAGGGCCAAACCAATAAGCACTTTCTTTCGCATTTCTTTTTTTTTTAGAAAAGCTTTAAATCGATTTTACGATATTGATTTTTATTTGAAAGCGTTCTAATTAAAAGTCTTTCTACTTTTATGTTACAAAAATATTTTCTACTTAGATTAATTGCATCTATAATAATAATAAAAATCAATTATTCCCTTTCAAGTAGTAAAAATTTCATTATCAAAGGGAAAAGCAATAAAACAATAATGTTAAAAATTTTTATTGTAGAAACATTCTCGGCGCACTTCAGCTTGTTTTTATTTTTTATAGTATTAAATTAATAAAAATTAAGTATATGTAAGCATAGAGGTTAAAATAACTATATCGACTCAACATTATAAACACTTAGATAATATTTACATAGGTACATACACATATATACATAAACTTGATAATATTATAAAATTGAACTCTTAATAATCCAAGTGCAGAAAACGTTTTATAGTAGAACTTATAATTACAAAAAAAAATTTATTTCTATAAAAGAATTTTTAATGATTCAAAAGATTTTAAAATCCACAATACTTAAACGTGTGTTTTCTTTTAAACACTTTTTATTTTTTTTTATCTTACTCTTTAAATATTTTAAGAACTTAAAAAAAAAAAGATTTTCATGCTTTTTTTCACAGTACATTGAATGTTGTATGTAAAGTATTTTCTACTTATGAATATTTAGCCTTATATTTTAAGTTTTATTTGAAGACTTAAGGATATAATCATAATAATAATATATAGTACTTTTGAATATTAAAGATGATGATTAACTCGCTTGTTTAGAACATTAAAAGAAAATTTTTTAAATATTAAATAAATATGTACATGCTTGAAAAAATTTTGTTTTTAATCCTTAAAGAAAATATTAAAAATATATACTTATATCTAGTAAATTTTCTTTTTTACACGAGACTCATTAAAAATGTATATCTAACATCGATAATAAAATAAGAGAATTTTTATTAGAAATTTTTAATCTTAGCATATACGGTACGCAAAATTCATTAATATTTTCAAGCAGAATTAATTTTGGAATATTTCGAGTTGCAATTTCGAAAATTTAAATTTATAGAATTGTAAAAACCGGGAATATAGTGCACCGCAACAATGTATAAAGATCTGTCGTGCCGCTGTGAGTACGGGACATTGTTCTACAGCACCCGCTCAATGTTCACCGCCTTGATGTACTAGAGCAATTTGTGAGACGTAGAAGACCTGAAAGCAAAGTCACCCAGTATTTCCCTTGTTCTGTAAGCGAGAACAACACAACAACAGAATAACTACCATAACTGCCATAAAGCGTGCACAGAACAACTGCCATAAAGCATGCTGTATTCTCTCCATCTTCCTCACAGAACCTATAAATATCTTCACTTACCAAGCCTAATTTACTGAAGTGCCTCCTAAGTCCCCAGAGACAAGACCCCGGCAAGAATTCTCACCTGATTCTTGGCCATCCCTATAATTTTCTTAAAAGGCTTCTGGTCACAGTATTCCGCAGAAGATCCCTGGCCTGCCTTAAAACTGGATGATCTCTCCACCGCTCCGACCGCCTCTTTCTGGTTCTTTTCACGATTCCAAAGGAAACAAAATTTTCTTATTTTTATTTTCGTAATATTATTTTCCAACGAAATAATAAAAAAATGTGGCTGTCTGCGAATTTCACATTTAGAATTTTATAGCTAATTGTCAATATGATTATAAAATGAAACATGTGAAATACAACTAAATAAGGAACTAGCAAGAACTTTATCATAAAAGGGTGTGTTTTAAGACAGCAAAACTTATGTGT